CTGACCCTGGCGTGGCTCTGTGTTGGGCCCCTGCCCGCTGTCCCTGCAGGGCTTTGGCAGGGGAGACGAACACAGCTGGGGCATCGGGAGGGTCACCAGCGAGCAGAGTGCTGTGCGGCAAGAAAGCGCGGAGGAGAAGGACCGCGGTGGGAACAGATGGAACAGAGCAGAAGGGGGCGGACCGACGGAACCAAAGGCGAGATTTTGAGAAGGTCGACGGAACTGTCCAAACTTTAGCGAGATTAACCAAGAAAGAAAGAGAGGAGACTCGAATTACTAAAACCAGAAAAACAAGAGGGTACGCCCTACCAATCTTCCAGAAAGAAAAGGGGCTGCAACTGGAGCAACCGGGTGCCGATGAATCAGACGACGCAGACGAAATGAACAAACTCCTAGAAAAACATAAACTGTTCGTACTCATCAAGAAGAACAGAAAATTCTGAATAGATCTAAAACAACAGACTGAATCAGTAATAAAAAAATCCCACAGAGAAAAACCCAAACCTACACTGGTAAATCCTAACAAACACTTAAAGAATGAGTAACACCAATTCTTCAGAATCTCTTCCAGAAAACAGAAGAGAAAAAACACTTCTCGTCCAAAAGACCAGCGCAGCCCTGACACCAAAACCTGACAAACACGCGACACGCAAAGCAAAGCAAAGGCCGACCACCCTCCTGAGTGTGGACACAGAAACTGCCAACAAATCGCCGGCGGATCAAGCCGGCAAGACCCACAGACGACCCGCTGGATTCACCCCCGAAGGACAAGGCGGCCCACCACACCAGGTCAGTCAACTTCACGTGATGCCGATAAAGCGAAGCCCACACGGCCATCTCCACAGACGAAGAAAGAGCAGCCGCCAGGTCCAACACCGGCCACGGTACCAACCACCCAACGAACCAGGAGTAGAGGGGCCTCCCTCAGTTTGCAAAAGAGCGGCTGTGAGAAACCCAACGCTGACCGTTCGGCTGAGCAGGTGGGCGTCGCCCACAGGCCGTGGGATCGCTGGATAGACCCCCAGTCAGGGCGCATGCCTGGGTTTCAGGCCAGGTCCCTGGTTGGGGGCGTGCGAGAGGAAATCAGCTGGTGTTTCTCTCCTCATTCTTCCCTCCCTTCCCCCCTCTCTCTTTAAAAAAAAAATCCACAGCTGATAACAGTGCACTCAGTGGAAACACAGGATGCCGTCCCCTGAGATCGGGGCAAGACGAGAACGCCCACGCCGCCCGGCGCCCTCTGGCGTCGTACACGGGGTCCCCGCCGGGGCGACCAGGCAGGACGACGAGTGACAGGGCGTCCAGGTGGGAAAGGACAACGCACAACCACCTTTACTTGCAGACGTGGTCTTGCATGTAGAAAACCCTAAAGGGCCGACACGAAAGTCACTGGAACAAGCAGGTTTACCAGCATTTCCAGGCACAAGATCAACACCCAAAAACTTACACTGGTAAGTCAGCAATTTAAAAATGAAATTAAGAAAACAATTCCGTGTACAATAGCACCCGAGAGAGTAAGAACTTTAGGAATAAATTTAACAAAAGTAATGGAAATGTACACTGTGGAACTGTAACACCGCTGGAGGAGATCACAGAGCATCCTCACAAATGCAGACACCGTGCTCCCGGCCTGGAAGACCCTGTGCTGGTGAGAGGGCAGCGCGCCCAGCGGAGCTCCACACTCAGCACGGTTCCTACCCAAATCCCAGCAAAAAAGAAAAAAGCAGAAAGTGACAAACTGATCCTAAAATCCACAAGATATTAGAAGGACACAGAGTAGCCAAAACAGTTTTGGAAACAAATTGCTTCCTAATTTCAAAGTTGACGACGAAGTCACGCGATCAGGACGTGTGGCCCGGGCACAAGGACAGACACAGCTGCCGGCCACTGGGACGGGGCCAGGAGCACGGTGACGAGTCCTCACACCTACGACCCATCAGCTCCACAAGCCGTCAAGACAATGTACCAGGGAAGGAACAGTCATTTCTGTAAACGGTGCTGGTATGACCGGGTACGTGCGTGTAGAAGGGTGCATTTGGACGACCTTCTCATACCGCACACAAAAATTAACTTGAATCCAACATCTAAATGTAGGAGTTAACACTACAAAATCAGAAAACCTAAGTATGACTCCTCTTGACCTAGGATTAAGCAGTGGTTCTTAGCACACCCCAAGCATTACAACTAAATAAAAACAGATTAGCCCTGGCTGGCGCAGCTCAGTGGATTGAGCACGGGCCTATGAAGCAAAGGGTCACCAGTTTGATTCCCAGTCAGAGCACATGTCTGGGTTGCAGGTCAGGTCCCCAGTAGGGGACACATGAGAGGCAACCACACATGGATGTTTCTCTCCCATTCTTTCTCCTTCCCTTCTCCTCTCTCTAAAAATAAATAAAATATTTAAAAAATAAATGAAAATAAAAACAGATTAATCAGACTTCATCAAACTAAAAACTTGGCGCTGCCTGGTGTGGCTCAGTGGGTTGGGTGTCATCCCGACTTTATGGTTCAATTCCCAGTCAGGGCACACACTTGAGTAGCAGGTTCAATCCCTGGTCAGGGCATGTATAAGAAGCAACTGTTTCTCTCCCTCCTTTTCCCTTCATCCCTCTCTCTCTAAAAATAAGTAAATAAATCTTACACAGAAGATTTAAACACACCATCACCAAACGACCCTGCAGTTCCGTTTACAGTTACACACCCAAGAGAACCGAGACCACGCACCCACACATGAACGCTCGCGGCAGAGTCACTCGGAGCCAAGTAGAAAGATCCCCAGTGCCCACCGGCCGACAGACACATGCAATGGGACCTGTGCACACGGTGCAGCGTCACTCGGTGACAGAGGACAGAAGCGCCCACGCGTGCAGCATCGTGAACTGGGGACTTGGAAAACGCGCGCAGTGAGGGACGGCGGGCAGCGCCACACAGTGCATGGGCCCGTCCAGCGAGACGGGGACACACAGACACGGGGAAGGCTCGCGCTGCCACCAGCTGAGGGGAGGAAGGGAGTGGCCAGCCGGCCCGATTTCTGTCTGGGTGACTAAGATCTGCAGCCGGCTAGTAGCGACTGCTGCACAACTGTCAATTCCACTGAGCTGTGTTCTGTAAAAGGGCAAACTACAACTCTGACAAAATAACACAATTGCTAGAAGAAAAGGAAAGGAAGGTGTTGACCGCAACGCGCCGAGGAGTCGGGTGACAGGAGGAGCCTTATCTGAAGAGAACGGGAGCGGGCAGGAAACCGAGCACCGCTGGCCTGCCTGTCCTTGTCACCGTGCGCCACCGTGCTCGAGGACTCCAGTGCCACAGCCCTCGTCTGGGCCCGGCGTGGTGCCCCCGTGTGCAGTGGAAGTGTGAGTGCACGTCCGGTTCGCTCCTCGGTTTGCACAGCACTTTCTGTTCCCCCAGCGTCACAGTTGGTGCCGCACTCACTCTCCCCGGGACCCGGGAGAGCCACGTGGAGCCTCCGTGTGGCCTGAAAGGACTCCAGACCTACCCGGGTCGACATCCGGCCCCCAGCACACGCCCCAGGCCCGCGGGCAGGACTGCTGGTCCTCGCGTCTGGCCCTGCAGCCTGCCCCTCCACCTCCGCCGCCCCACCCCCGAGGGCTACGATGCCCGACATGCAGACGGTCATGAGCACGGGCCTGGACTCCCTCCCTCGGTTTCCTTCTGGTGCCTTGAAAGTATCTTTTTGTTCACAGACAACCCGCTCTGGCCTCCGCCGCCGCCTCTGCGCGTGCCAGCTCCATGTTTCACCCAACAGCAAAGTCACACAAGCGGGACTAGCGGCCTCCCCATCACAAATGTCAGCAGAAATACACTCAGCATAGCAACTGGGCCCATCAGGTTTTTTTTTTAATGGTGGCCTCTTGCATGCCCCCAACTGGGGCCCTGGCCCACAACCCAGGTATGTGCCCTGACCTGTAATCGAACCAGCAACCTTTCAGTTTGCAGGCTGATGCTCAATCCACTGAGCCAAACCAGCCAGGGCCCATTAGATCTTAAAGGGTAATTCAACAGTGCACTGAGGTCAGACTTCTCCTGACCCAGTGGGGAACAGTCAAGAGCACAAGAAAACATTTAGATACATTGTAGGACTTCCAATCAAGATGGCGGTGTAGGTAAACACAGCTTACTGCCCTCGCACAACCGTACAAAAATTACAACTAAACCATAACAACATCATTCAGAACCATCAGACATTGGCAACTGTGGAACTGAAGAAGGGACCAACCACAGGACGAAAGAAGAAACCCCAGTGAGACTGGTAGGAGGGTAAAGACGCAAGCCGGGCTGGGCCCACACCCATGTGTGGCAGACAGAAGGCACTGTAAACCGGCCCCGGCTGGCGTAGCTCAGTGGACTGAGCCCGCGTTTGCGAATCAAAGGATCGCAGTTTGATTCCCAGTCAGGGCATATGCCTGGGTTGCAGGCCAGGTCCCACCAGGAGACACATGAGAGGCAACCACACATTGATGTTTCTCTCCCTCTCTCCTTCCCTTTCCCTCTAAAGATAAATGAATAAAATCTTTAATAACAAAACAGTACTTAAAAAAAAAAGAAGACACTGTAAATGGAAATGGGGCACCGGGGACACTGGGAAGGAGAGTTCGTGAACACACCCGGGAGGCACTCGCAAAAAACGCTGACACCGACAGACCAGACCCACGACCAGGTTTAAAGTGGCCTTTACTTTCTCCTCTAAGCTTTTGGATATTGAGTTAAAAAAACAATGCTCACTCTGTAAAAAGAAATAAAACATTTGGGGGGGCGGAATTCAGTGTTGGCTGAGATAATTTTATCAATCTGTTCAGCTCTGAACTTGACAAACATCAAGTTCTAAGTCTGGGGGCCAGTGGACAGCCCCCCTTGTTTGCAGACACATGCCCTGCCCCCCTGCTGGGAGCCCCCTGTCAGCGGTGCTGCTTCTCCCAACAGCGGCGTCCTGCGGCCTGTCTCACCGAGGGGCCGGTCAGCGCCGGTTGCCCTGAACTCACCTGCACGGGCGGTTCAATCATTATCCAGGCCGGAAGCATGAGGTTGGGGTTCAGAGGCTGGGTCCCCACACGGAAGTACACGCCTCCCCTGGAGTCGCAGGCCCACACGTGCTGGCCCCCACACGCCAGGCTCGTCAGTCTCACGGCTCCTGCAGACGAGGGAAGGAGAGGCACAGGCACGGTCACCACCGTGAAGCTGACCTCTCACTGAAATCTGTCCGCTCGGACCGGCTACTGCAAAGGAAGGGACGAGGAGGGTGGCTGAGGCCTCTGGCTGCCCTGCCACCTACCGGGCACCACATGGCAGCCGTTCTGTGCCACGGGCCAGGAAGTGCCCTGTGTCACCAAGCACGGGGACAGGCATCTCCACTGGGGCCATCGTTCGCTGCCTCAGGTACTGACGACCACCAGCAGCTTCTGGACCAGGGGAGAGGAAGACCCTCTTTATGGGTGATCTCGGTCCTAACTGGAATTAAGGTGAACTAAGGAGGCCACCGCGAATCTTCGATTTCCTGTTCCTATTATCCTTGTTGATGACACCGGTTTTAAGAGGAAGGGAAGTGGGACGAGCTGTTAGAGACTGCACTTGACTGACGATCTGTTTGGCAGAAGAGCTGCAGCAGCCGTCACCGACCAGCTGCTGCAGGGCGGTCCCCAGCCGGGTCTGCACAGCCACCGGGACCCCAGTCCTCACGAGGCCACCGAGGTGCAGATGTGAAGCCATTTGCCCAAGGCTCCCGGCATGCAGGTGGCGAAGCCAGGAGGCCTGGGGCAAGCTGAGGGCTGAGGCCGGGCCACCCAGCTTCCCCGCGTCAGCCGCCTCGCCCAGCTCTGACAAAGGGCATGCCTGGTGACTCGTCCCGGAGAGTTCCCCGGACCCCGTCCGGTCACTCCCTCCGACTTCTAGCAGCACAGTGAGTCTGGCCTGGTGGAGGCGTCCACAGAAGTGGTCGCAGGCACACACTCCGGGTGCAGCTTTGTCACTCACTGTCACTTACTCAAGGCCGAGGGTTATTCCACTGCACTGACACCAGTTACTTCACCCGCCCACCTTCTGCCACTAGAAGTAAAGCTGCTACCATGGTTCTCGGAAGACTTTGGGGGACACGTGCTGCTTCTCCTGAGCACCGAGGCGCGGAGCTGCTGGGCCACCGGCCAGCGCACATTCCGCTTTCCACAGCGCTGCCAGTGTCCCCGGCTGTCTGTGACCCTCGCTGGTGTCGCGCTGCGGCCTGTTTCCATCGGCCATCTGGTGGGTGTGAAGTGATGCCTGTCTCGGGTTTCACTGGCATTTCCCCGACAGCGAGTGGTGTTGAGACGGGCACTCGCACAGCGCGCCCTGTGCGTGTGGGATCAGGTCTCCTGCGCGTCTTCCAAGCTGCACGCTTTGCCTCGTGATGACTGGGTCAGAGGACGGGTCACGTTAGCCGGGCACTGGGGAAAAGGCTGCAGCTGGGTTTGCTGGCTGTGCTGTTCTTGGCCACCCTACGCAGGTGACACTGGCATCAGATGACAGCCCATGTCTGCACCAACAGGCACGGATCCTGCTATGTGGCAATCGTGTCATGTGCCATTAGCATGAGACAAGCTTAGAAGGTGTTAACTCCCACTGCACGAAAGGCAGCGCCCCTTTGGGCACTGCTTAAGGCTGGGGGTTCCTGATGGTGAAACACCGCGTTTCCTCCCTTACTCTTCCATAGAACATTTTTCCGGGGGGCTCAGACAGACTCCCCAGGTCTCTACACTACATATTAAAACATTTGTACAAATCAAAATACAGCAGCTTCAGCAGGAAGCCCCAGAAACAGCTGAGAAACAAGGACTGATTGAAAAGTAACTACAGACTTCCGGCCAAGATGGAGGCGTAGGTGGAGACACTGTGCCTCCTCGCACAACCAAGTTTAAGGACAATAAAGATTTAGAAACAAAAACAAGAACAGACAGAAAATTAAACTGTACCAAAGTCCGACAACAACAAACCATTCATCCAGACCGGTAGGAGGGGTGGAGTTGGTGGCCGACGGAGAGGGGTCAGGGCAGGAAGAGGCGTAGGTTGGCAGGCCCGGGTGCGGGGAGGAATCGAGCAAACCCGGTAAAGCTCGCAAGGCGGCTGGCTGACCGCAGGCGCACATTCTCACGCAGATAAACCAGGCAGGCTTAAAAATGGTCAGTGGGAAAGACCTAGCAACCCGGGGCCCCAGCAACGGGACATAAAACCTAAAACCACCGACTGGAAAAACTTTCAGGGGTTGAGGTGCTGAGAGAGGCTCCCAGCCTCACAGGAGAGTTTGCTGGAGAGACCCACAGGGTCCTTGAACGTAAACAAGCCCATCCACCCAGGAATCAGCACCAGAAGGGCCCAGTTTGCTTGAGGGAAGTGGTGGAAGGAACTGAAATCCAACGGAGAGCGGAATAAGCGCCATCGCTCCCTCTCTGACTTCGCCCCCACATACAGCATCACAACCTAGTCACTGGGTCACCCCACTGCCACGTCCACTGCCGTGTCCACTGTTGGATCCCTTTCTCCATGACAAGGTCCTGAGAGGGGGTGTAAGACTTCAAGGAAGCAGTTTCCAACCTGGTGGACGTGGCATGGAAGGCCCTGCAATACCTATTGTGATTGTGCTTGCTTTGGGGATCATGACCTTTTCTGCTTTAATCATTATGAATACCCTGGCAGTGATTCAGATAGTGTGCCTAGACCTTTCCCGGCTCAATGAACAGAATAATAATATCATACTAGAACGTCAGGGAATATAGGTACAAAGAAACAACCAGAACAATCTGAGAATTCAAGCTTAATCAATAACAGATTATTGGAAAAACACCCAAGATAAGATAGAATACTCTAGGAAATCAGGAGATGATCTCACTGCTTTCTTAGAGGGAATCAAAGTACAAAACATGTCTATAAAAGAACTCCTAGAGAAACTTAAAAGAAGTACCCTTGAAAGCCCCCTGCAACATAGGAATAGCCCCTCCTTTACCTTGAATAAGAATATATATCAACTAGACAAGCAAAGTAATAACAAAAGCTAGTTAGTTATTACAAACTAAACAGTCACTAGGGAGTCAGAATTTATAGTACACAGAAAAACATTTTAAGCAAAAAAAAAGATAGATAGCTAAGTTAGACATCACAAAGGCCTTATAATAAATCTCCTATTTTCTCTACTCAATCTAGCGTATCCTTTTGCCCTATGACAAATTCTGAGAAACTTTAATATACAATAAGATACTTCTAATTGTCTGATTAATGGCTCTCTCTCCTAGTTAAAATAATCTTTAACTAAATCTACGGGAACTTTTGTACTTTTACTGATTACCTTTGTATTAATTTTTTCTGCTTAAATGACCATGTTATACTACAAATGTTAATCACTACCTAAAATGAAAATATAAAAACCTGCTTGTACTTGCAATAAACGGAACAGAGCTTCACTGTCCTTTGAGGCGTGTTGTCGTCTGTTACCCAGTGCCGACGCCTACCCTCACCTGTGGGACCCCTTGACCCGCTGCAGCTGGACCGCAGCACCCCACCCTGGTGAACACCTAAGGCTCCACCCCTCATACAGAACAGGGGCAAACAGACCAAAACATTATGGCTCAAGAAGAACAGCTCAAAGCCCCAGAGCCAATACTTCTAAGCAACCAAGAGATAGCCAACCTATCAGATGCACAGTTCAAAACACTGGTGATCAGGATCCTCACAGAACTGGTTGATTTTACTCACTAATTAGAGGAACATATGAAGGCTAAACTAAGTGAAATGAAGGGAATTGCGCAGGGAACCAATAGTGTTGGGAAGGAAACTGGGACTCAAATCAATGGAGTGGACCAGAAGGAAGGAAAAAATGGCCAAACAGAAAAGAGCGAAGAAGCAAGAATTCAAAAAAATGAGAAGAGACTTAGGAACCTCCAGGACATCTTTAAACGCTCCAGTATCCAAATTATAGGGGTACCAGAAGGGGAAGAGGAACAGCCACCAGTGGAAAACTTATTTGAACAAATAATAAAGCAGAACTTCCCCAATCTGGCAAAGGAAACAGACTTCCAGGAAGTCCAGGAAGCTCAGAGAGTCCCAAAGAAGGTGGACCCAAGCAGGAACACACCAAGGCACATCATCATTACATTAGCCAAGATTAAAATGAAGGAGAGAATCCTAGAAGCAGCAAGAGATAAGGGGACAGTCACCTACAAAGGACTTCCCATCAGACTGTCAGCTGATTTCTCAAAAGAGACCTTACAGGCAAGAAGGGGCTGGAAAGAGGTATTCCAAGTCATGAAATCCAAAGACCTATATCCAAGATTGCTCTGTCCAGCAAAGCTTTCATTTAGAATGGAAGGACAGATAAAGTGCTTTTCAGATAAGATCAAACTCAAGGAGTTCATCATCACCAAGCCCTTTAATATGAAATGTTAAAGGGACTTATCTAAGAAAAAGAAGATAAAAAAGATGAACAGTGAAAGGACAGCAAACTCACAGTTATTAACAATCACACCTAAAACAAAAGCAAACTAAGAGGACAGCTAGATCAGGAGCAGAACTGTAGAAATGAAGATCACATGGAGGGTTAGCAACAGGGGAGTGTGAGGAGGAGAAAGGGGGAGAAGGTACAGAAAATAAGTAGCATAGACAGTAGATAGAGAATAGATGGGGGCAAGAATAGCATGGGAAATATGGAATCTAAAGAACTTGAGACACGTGGTCATAAACTAAAGGGGGGGAATGGTGGGGGAGGGGGTGTGCAGGGTGGAGGGGAATGAAGGGGGGTAAATGGAACAACTGTAATCGTATAGTTAATAAAATATATTTAAAAAAAAAGAAATAAGCAACTGCAGGAGGGAGCCTGGCCCGTGGCAGCCCCTGTGAAGAGTCACTCGGCCTCTCTGACGAGTGGGGACGGTGTCACTGCTGGGACACCAGGTAGAAAGCCGAGCCGGGGGAGAAGAAGCTGGTGTGTGCCATCGGGTCACTGAGGCTGGGCTCGCCCCACCACGGGCCCGACTAGGCCCTCATCGACTTGCCTGCCTCTTCCCCTCCCCTTAAAAATTTTAATTATTTTCTCAACACATCAGACATCTTCCCTGAACAGAAAGCGGCATCTCTTTGGTGTTTTACTACCTATGAAACACTCTTCTACCTAAGCTACTGCCTACCACAGTCCTGTCATTACCTACAGGTATGACCTGCCACTGAGTACGTCCTCGCCCCCCGGAGACCGGGCAGGCTGCCCACGAAGTGCTCACCGGCTGAGCCTCCTGGCGCCCACATGACGCGCCAGAGCGTCATGAACGCCCGCAAATGGTGCAACTCTCCTTCCAAAATCCAGGACTGTGCCAGTCCCAACTCCCATACTGTCTTTGTACCTGGTTCAACAGCTAGACATCCAGGAGTTCCCTTCATGTCAGCTCTAAACGGTCACTGATGTGGCTGTTTGTATGGGGCAGGGCAGAGGGACGCTGTGTCTTCAAGAAGAAATTAAAGGTAGAAACTGTGTTCGTGACTTGACACTTTGCTGAAGTCATCCTTGAAAATGCAACTTCTGTTTGCAAGAACAGTCACATTCCAGACTTTACAATGACCTTGCGCTGCCCAAGGTCGATGCCAGCATGAGGTAGCCAGGCTCACGTTGTGGGCACTAGGAAGACAGGCCTTCACTTGAGCATTTTCAAGGTCAGAACACTCATACGGAGCCAGGACCGAGGAGAAGGTGTGGAACACAGCTCCAGACCGCTCTGACGAACCCGGCACCGCTGGCCTCGTGCCCTGACCCGGTGTGGCAGCAGCACCTTGACCCTGCGTGTCGGGCAAGTTTATTTGTGATCAGCAGCAACAGGAATGGAACTCCTGTGCCAGGGTTACTTAGAAAGACAGCTGCACACAATGACAGCTCTCCCTGACAGTCTCACTTCCTGAAGGACCGGGATGGGGCTGAGCACATGGTCCCCCCTACACAGCCCCCACCCTCTGGTGCGGACCTCCTGAGTCCGACCGAAATGCCTGCTGAGAGCAGGAGCACAGCGCTCAGGGGACGCAGCGGGCCAGGCATCAAGACGGAGGCTGACGGGGAGAGTGGCTGCGGCCTGCAGCAGGGAGAGCTGAGGGAGGGAAGAGCAGGAAGGGCATCCTAGGCCGAGGGGAGAGGCAAGGGGCAGGCGGTGCCCGGGAAGGGCAGGCAGGGCCAGGCTGCAGGGCCCCCGGTGCGGCCTGGAGACAGGAACTGATGCTCGGGGCAACTCGAGCCATCCAGTGGTGAAGGCACAGCCGCTGCAGCTGTGCTTCAGGGAGGGGCACTCCTGGTGCCACGGGCAGGTGGGTACTGGGCAGTGCAGGAGTGGAGCCGGGCTGCCTCTGGCAGTGGGTGGGCGGAAGCAGGGATGAGGCACCGCCAGAGACCCTGGGGCGATTGAGAGAGGTGCCCTGCCCGTGCGGGACGGGATGGGGCCGGAGGAGTGGCGTCAGGAAGAGAGCGGCTGGGAAAGAGAAGGCTGAAGGTGTGCAGAGTCTTCCCACGCACAGCCGAGTCCAGCTGGCAATGCAGCAGCGAAGCCGGATGGCGGGCCGCCCACCAGGGGCAGCACTCCTTGCACAGCTGCGTGGCCGGTGCACGCAGCTCTGCTCGTGTCTGCACCCCAATTTAAACCCTAATTAGAAGAACCCTGATTCACCTGCTCGGCCCACCAGCTATGCTACGACACCTGGACGGAACCCAATAAAAGGACACCTGGTGGCCCTGACTCCCTTTTGTTGCCCCTCCCTGGCTCAGGGGAAGGCCGGCACCCCTCCCCCCCTACACAAATTCTTAACTCTGGACTTGGGAATTCAGAACAAGGGGAAAGGAGCCTTTGTCATTTCAGTGCCAGCCAGCCAGAGAAACCACCAGAACCCAGAGCTCGAAGTAGGATATGGACCAAGACAGGCAGGCACTCTCTGTGACTGCCCCCACTATGCGCACTGTCATGGGGCGCCCCTGTGCCGCTGAGGAGGGCTTCTGAGCGACCCCGAGGGCGAGCCCCACCTGCCCAAGACAGCCATCCACGCGGGATGCTCGCTCGCACCATCTCTGGGCAGGGGGGCAGTGCTGTCCCCACTGCAGAGGTGAGGAGCTGGGGTCGGAGGGAAGCCAGCAGCTCGCCTGGGCCCAGGTCTGTGCATGGGCAGCGCAGCCTCTGCATCGAGTCCTGCACCTCGGGCTGGCCACTGGCCACCGGCCACCTACGGTCTGCATGACCCACTCTGGCCATGGCTGGGTCCTGGCACTGATTTGCTAATGCTGATGCTGTAGGCACGAGGCTGGGTGGCTCGGTGCCTCTGCCAGGCGCCTCTGCCCAGCAGCACGCCTGCAGTGCACACCCGCCGCCTGTGCTCTCACCGTCTGAGGACGGCCGGCCCAGACTCAGCAGGGCCTACTTCCGACTCCCTCCTGCCCTCGGACGGAGATTCCCGTCCACCAACGCTGATTTCTCCTGGGAAGGGTGGCCACCACCCCAGTGACCCGGCACTGGGAGGATGGGGTGAACAGGCAGGGAGGCAGGGCTGGGAGGGCCACGCCCAGCTGCAGCCTCGTCCACAGCCCCGTGGGGTCAGTCACTGTCGGTGAAGACAGCTGGCTGATGCTCTCAAAAGCAACAGGGTGACTGGTCCTGGGGCCGAGAACGGGCTCAAGAGACCGTGCACCAGGCCTAAAGCAGAGCGACCAAAACGACCCTGGAAAACACCTCGCTCTGGACAAAGTGAGCTTGGCAGTTGAGAGCTGACCCACCCCTCAGTGGTGCCACAGGACGCCGGGCCTTGCTGGACGGACTGAAGACATGTCTGCACGGCACCTTGGAGCGGCCGTGCGGGCCGGGCCCAGCCATGTGAGGAAAGTGGCCCCCGGCAGCTGGAGATGCAGCAGGGCTGCCGGGAAGGAGGCGGGCGGCGTGCCTCCCTCGCTCGTTCCCTCCCTGCTTCCTCTCTCCCCTCCGCCTTTTCTGTGCAGGTGTGCGTGTGTGTGGGTCAATTCCCAAACACCAAATGCTTGGACAGGTAAAACCACTGGCTGTCAGCTGACCAACACGAGAAACCGTATGGCCCCTGGAACCTTTGTTAGCGGTCACATCTGGAGGCAGCGTAAAGGCCGTCCCGACGCTCAAGAGGCCTACCTAGCTGCGAAAGGTCCAGCCGCGTCCAGTGCATGCCGGTGGGACAGCTCTTGGACAGCGTCCTGATGAACACCTGGCCCAGGCTGTCCAGCGCCCACAAAGCGTCCTGGCAGGCGGCGAAGGCCCTCATCTCGGCGTCGGGAGGCAGCTGCAGCGTGGACGGGCGGGACCGGGCATCCTGGGCACTGATGCTGCACAGGTCCTTGCTGCCCTGGCTCAGCCACAGGGAGCTTCCTGTGGAAGAATTCGCAGGGTCGCGGACGGAAGCACCAGGCAGCCAACCCTGCCCGAAGCTCCTGAGCTCACTCACCAAGCGCCCACAGAGGTGCCATGCGCTCTAAGGTACAGCTGGGGGATGCCCTGTGACTTAGGAAGAAACGAGCCCAAGGTATCGGAGTGAAATGAAAGAGAGCAGGGCGTACGAGATTTTATGAAGGCTACGGTGCTGGCCTGGCAGTGCTGACCGGGGTGAGCTACAGCAGCTGGGCGGTCTCTCACTCGGAGCATTTCATCAGCACTCGGAGGTGGGGGTCAGCAGGGCCGCTCAGATGCAAGGCCGAGGTGCTCGCCGCCCTGCCGCGGTGGGTGAGGGCGGGCCTGCGCACCAGGGGGCTGCTGGGCAAGGCTCTTCCCACCCCTCCGCCACTTCTAGAATCCTTAGGTTTGTAGTTTCAGCTTAAAATGCAAATAACCCTCAGGGAAGTTAGAACCTCGGGCACCGGTTTCATCTACGATACTATCTAAAGCCTGCGGCCAGGCCTGTTTCAATGTCTGTTTGGACGTTGAAAACCTGTGGCAGTGGGTGTGCGGGTTTCTAAGTCCCGGCCCCAGGGAGCTGGCCTCCCCGGGTGCAGCGCACACAGAGCCACGGCCACAGTCCGCGTGTGGGTCGCCGTCAGTGGCTCTCAGCAGTCAGGCCGGGTGTTGCTGCTGAATGAATCTGTGCTAAACTCAGGAACGGGCCTCCGTGTTTGGGGCTCGTGGGTTTCAGAGCTGGTGTCAGAACCACCTGGTGCAAAAGCGTTTATTGTCCTGGCCACGTCCCCCACTTCCCAGGGCACGGAGGCTTGAGCGAAATGACTGTCTCCCCAGGGCCACGCGGCACGATGGCCTCTCATCCGACCCTCGGTGCAGCCCTCGGGGCGGCTTCAGCTCCTTCCCACAGGGGACCCCGACTGCCCACACTGCAGCTCCAAGCCCCAGGCTCCGGGGCAGGCTGAGCTCTGACGATGGAGGGGCGTCTGCCCCAGTGGGTCACACCTGTGGGACGCAGGCCAGCCAGAGACTGCAAGCAGGTGAACAGAGACTGCTGGAGGGGGCGACTGGATTCACAGGAGAAAACGGGATGGTGCCCAAAGAACCCGGTGCGCCCCGGCTGCTGTGCTGTGGCCCAGTGCCGCGCTGCTCAAGCCACCGGCTGCCAGCCCGGGCGGCTACACAGAATGCTCCCCACCTCCAGGTTGCTTCCCTGCTCTGGACCCTTCTCTCCTGGTCAGGTCTGTCCAGCTTCAGGGCTGTCAGCTCAGCCAACCAGGGCTAGCCACCTGTGACGCCACCCCTGGCTCTGACCAGGGCACAGCAGATCAGGGGTTAGGGGCACTGCGTTTCCCCACCCACCTTCCTTTGTGGGCGAAGCAGAGGCCAGCACGAAGGCCCATCTTGTCGCAGAGGCTGTGCCACGGGGAACAACACTGTTCCAGTAGGTGCCTGGATGGGAGAGACAGACACAGTGCGTTAGAGGAGGAGGGAGCCCCACCTCAAGACTTTAGCCCCACCTCTTCCATGGCTGCCAGCCAGCCCTGCGAAGGCCGGCCCCCTTCTCTGTGGACGCCAACAGGCAGAGTCACAGCCTTGCCCCGGCGGGGAGGCCACGCGAGGAAGCCACGTGGGGAGGAGAGCTGGAGAACGGCCACAGAGCAGGGCTCCCTTTACAGGATGAAGCCCGGCCGATCGGCGGAGCCCTGCATTTCCAACAGCATGACAATTTTCCTCTCGGATACGGACTATTCTCTCTTCTTAGGCCCTTCCGATCTAGGTGGATCTTTCCCATTTAAGTGTAAAACTATGAAAATAAAACTGGGCTCCGTCTGCTTTACATCACACCAGGTTCCCAGTGGAACGTGCTCACAGGCCGTGTGGACACTGGGACCTGAGATGCGGCAGGGACAGACTGGAACAGGAAGCAGGCACACACACGAAGAGGCCTGTGTGGAGGACACTCCTGCCACCGGCACAGGTCCCTCCTTGGGCGGAGAGCTGAGCGCTTCCCGTCCACGCCGGCCCTCCCGGGGAACTGCCTGTTAGGCCAACAAGAGAACTGAACTGGTTCACCCACCGACCAGACTTCCTTTGGCCACATGGAGCTCGTTCTTGCCCGAGGAGATCCAGACGCCGCTGTTGTTGACACCCAGGAGGCTCGGCTGGCACTGAAGCTGCTGCGACCAAAACGCCGTGCGCAGTTTACCCGCCACCTTTTCCACGGGCACCTGGGCCGCCGTGGCCACAGACTGTGTGGCGTGCACTATGGTCTGGAACAGGCTGCACTGGTCGAACACCACGTAGTCCGTGATGCTCACCTGGAGGGGCACAAGTGGGTGCCAGCTGTCAGGGCAGTGACAGAGCTCAGGCCCGCCCAACACCCCAACGCACGTGCATGTCAGTGTGCGGACCGAGCAAAGTGCAGCAGGACGCCACCGGACTGGAGCTGCGCTCCCGGAGGGCTGGGTCGGAGGGACAGGGAAAACGGTCACCGGTTTTCTCCTGCACGCGGATCTGGGACGCCAAGCGTGTGCCTGGACACCACCCACACCCCCTCTGTCTTCTGTACTGACCAGAGAGGAAGAGCTACTTTGCTTTTCAATTCAGGCATTTCCCAGGGACAGCAATGCCAGCACTCGGACTCATCACATGGGTTAAAATGGTACCGTAAGTAAGTAACTCGTGGTCCAGACCAGGGCTGTCACCAGTCAGGCCCGGCCAAACCCTGAAACAGGGCCGCCTGGGCCGCAGCGGCGCCCTGGCTCGGAGGCCCATCGCTGGCCTCCCCGCGGCCTCCCTCTGAGAAGGCCTCGCCTGGAGGCCTCCGGCAGGCGGTCCCACCTGCTCCCACTCCTCTCTTCCACTCACACGTCTCCCGCTGGGTCTGAGCACAGGCTCCCCACGGCCCCGTGCCCAGCACGGCCTGGTGCAGGCCCAGGTCGTGCATGATGGAGGAAGGGACATCTTTTTCACAGTGGCCTCAACTTCCAGGACACAGAAACAAGAGGATATTCCGGGAAAAACGAGCACTGCACGCCTGTGTCCGGGCAAGCCGCTGCCCTCGCTGAAGTTCCAGCGGAGGTTTCCCCGTCGGGACCCCCAGGCCCAGCTGCGGGGCCCACAGGGTGCGTAGCCTCGGCACACGCCTGCTGTCCGACTGCCCCAGGAGCTTGCCCTTTGCCAAGGCCTGCACACTGCCAAGGCCACACCGAAGTCTGCGACAGACTCAGCCCAGCACCCAGTATTTGCAGATAAGCAGGATGCAAATTCAAATACAGAAAAGTGTAGCAGCCCAACAGAACACCGGCTCTCATGCATTGACTGCAAGGACTCAATCTCACAGTAATTAAACTAAGTGCTTTCAAATACCTCGAAGACGGTTCTGTCAGTTAAATTTCTCTAAAGATCACATTCTGAATACGAACTGCTCCCTAGTCTTCGGGCCACGTAACAACAGAACTTAGCCCCACAGACACACTAGCACGTGTGTGTAAAGCCACATAACACGAGGACAAGCCCAAAGAAGGGGTGTTGAGGTCATTAGCAGAACCTTCCGAGCACGCCTGCGCACTGGAGCAGAGAACGGGTGCATACGCCCTCACCCCCCGAGGAGCAAACATGTCTCATTTCTCCCACCCTCGCCGAAGGGGCCTCGGCAACAAGGCGAGTCCTCAGGGCAGTGAGGCCCGGGCCCACGGGACGCACCGCACAGTCGCTGCGCAGCCACAGCTGCCAAGGGTCCGTGCACCCTCCCGGCCCTCAGGGTCCTGGGGGCTCCGGTCACACTGGCACCAAAGCGGGGGAATTAGACGCTCCTCTGAAAATGTGTTCCAGCCTCTCTGGCTGGTACCAAGTCACGAAGAGGTGGCGTGATCACACCTTTTTATGCCCCAAAGCCTCTCCTTTCCCAGCACACACGGGAAAATCCTCTTTGCTGCAACACCGCCCACTCGCAGGCTTTCTGAACAAGCAGAGATGCACGAACTTTAACTGTGGGTTGAGTTTTCCAAACCTACTGTCTAGTCTCTTTTCTCAGCACGTCTGCTCAGAACGAAACATCGTTGCTATCCGGGTCCCGCAGTGGCTGTTGCAGGCCCATTTAGCATGTGACGGATGTCTAGACGGCACCTACGTCAGTGAGCAGGGCCTGCGCATTCAGGCACAGAGAGAGCTCACCGGGTCACTGCCTGAGATGCACAGCCCCCGACGCTGCCCACGTGCGGGCTGGGACCCAGCAGAGTCCACCTCGCCCAGCAGGAAAATCACTGCTGCCCACTCAGTCCCACCTCCCCGAGCCCTTCAAGGGAAAGAGGGGGGGAGACAAAGGGGGGGGGACAAAGGGGGAGGCCCTGCACGTGCCGCGCAGCGGGGCACCCACCTGCCACCAATGCTCGTCCTCCCCCTGAGGCCTCTTGGACACGACGCCGGTCCGGAACCACAGGCTCCCGTGGATGTCCAGCGCCCACAGCGTCTGCTGGTCCCCGAGGGCTATGCACACAGGTTCCAGAGCCTGCCTCTCACTGCGAACGGAGGAAGGCAGGGCGCTGGCACCGACGGTCGGGGGCCCACCCCCCAGGTCCAAGGAAGGAAGCCTGAGTTTTGAGTTAAATCACTGGGCAACACAAACTGTTCAAACATGTCCTAGCTTCTGAAAGACACACTGAAGGCCCAGAACTGCAGGGAACAAACACTCTTGGGAGAAAATAACCTAAGAAAAAGGTGAGTGGCCTCCTGCCCCGCCCCCGCCCCCACGTGCCAGCGCTGCCAGGACCCTGTGGCTGGGCACACGCTGCTCCCTCTGGCCCACGCCCTCCCCCACCCAGTGCCACCACACCTGCTTCCAGGCTCGGTGGCAGGTCCCCCTGCACGGCGCCCTCCTGGCCTCTGCAGGTGGAGCCCAGGGGCCCTCAGCACTGCGTGCGGCAGCCCCTGGTTCAGGACTGTCTGCGCTCACCGGCCTCGGGCAGCTTACTAGGCTCCCTCGAGCCGGGAGCTCTGAGAAGCCAGGGCCGGGGCTCAGTCACGTTCGCACACACAGCCCGGCCACCCAGGCTCCCAACAGGCACCTGCTCCAGTTTCCTGGGTTGCTAAGTGCGAACCGAGGTCCTAACCGTATTTGTGTGAGAACTCTGAAGAATCTCACATTCGCAAAATGACTTGATGGTAACTCTGTAATTAAGGTTTCCAGTGATATGATGTAACCAAGTTACAATTTGGAGACCAATTTCAATTGACGAGGATGACGATGAAGAAACCGATTTGACTGTAAACCACCTGAGATTCTGAACCGAAACGATAGGTACAACATGGGGCAGGTCTGAACAGAGACCGTCGGAGGGACCTGGGACCCAGCCACTTTCAAGGTGACACCAAGGGAGCAGCGCTGCAGAGACCCAACACCCAGCCTGCCGGTCAGGGGAGACAGTGGGTGCACCCAAGGCCGGCCGCCCACGCGGGCTCGGACCCCTGCAGGGGACACCTCGCTGCGGCCACTGCTGCCCAGGAGAGGCTCCTCTGGGTGCCCTGAGGGGAGTCCAGCCGACAAAAACCGGGGGTGGCAAGCCGGACGCTGAAAGCGTGTCCGTCCCCCCCTCCGTGGATACCTGACAACGTCACACTTCCACTGCTCCCCCTCAGGACAGAAGCTGCTCACGCCTTCACGGTACAGCAGGGCTCGCTGCTCGGTCAGCGCCCACACCACGCCGCCGCGGGCCGCCACCTGCGACAGTGGGCATGGGCAGTCGACCTTCACGGCTCTGGCGCAGGGGCGATCCGCACTGAGACCTGGCGGGGAGACGGCAGGGAGGCCCCAAGGACACGCGTCAGGATTGCACGCCTCGTTTTTACTGTGTACTTATTTCCCTTCTGTGGTGTTTTGTATCTCCTTCTGTAGTAAGTGCTTTTTAAAGATGTTTCATGAACTACCAGAGGGGAGGGTATCAGGGGAGGTAAATGAGAGCACAGGGGGGTAAACGGGGACGGGAGGAGTCGTTACTTGGGGTGGTGACCACAGTACCACATACAGGTCATGTGTCACAGAACCGACACCTGAAACCTACGTAACTTTACTAACTCACGTTACCCCAGTAAGTTCGATAGGAAAAAGAGGTATAGCCTACGTACAATGGTTAAACTAGGCTTAAAGATAACGTTCAGCTGAAACGTTTCTAGATGCCCTTTGAAAAACCCGAAGGAATGACGACTGAGTCGGGTCTGTTAAGACGCCCCGAAAGGCTCCGAGAGGCCCAGGCCCGCGCCGCTCCTCCGGGCCAGCGGCTCCTTGCACAGGGACGCGCTCTTCACCAGAGGGACCCTTCCCCGTGGGCCCCTCGGGGCTCAGCGTGAACAGAAGGGCCCAGCGCCCAGCCTCTGGGTGGGTCAGCAGGAGCCTGAGGCCTCCGGCCACCTCTCAGAGCAGCTCCGACAAAGTGGCCCCACCCTGCTTTCACCGGGGGTATATGTTTTTGGGGGTGTCCCACCACTGAAGTGAAACCCAATACCCCCAACTCCCTGTGCAGGGCTTCTTCCCTGCATCTTGGCAGACTGCTCCCGGGCACCTGGCAGAACAGCTGTCACCCAAACCCTGCATGCCCTGGCCTCGGGTGGGCGTCTGACTGGTCACAGGCCCTGGGGTGCACTTCCTCGCACCAACCAGGCAGGGCTCACGTGCAGGACTTTACACTGCGAACCCTCGGCCGGTCCCAAGACGCTCCCCCAGTGTCTGCGTGGAGCAGGGCTCATCTGACACCCCGCCCTGGAGACTCCTAGGGCACCGCTGCTACGCACCCATTCCTCGCCCTAGGCCAGAAGCCTGTTTTCCCACCAGGAACAAACTCAAACGCCCCAGAACTGTTTCCACTTGAAGGGAGACCGGGCCGCCCACCACCCAGGACCTGGCGAGGCTGCCTGATGGGGCTCAGGCAGGAGCTCCTGGAGTGGGTCGCCCTCCCACAGCTGGGGGCCATGCTGGTGGGCCAGGCTCGGACCCTCAGGAGTCAGCCCTGACAGCTCACGACAGGTATGAAAACACTACGCGGCAACAGCAGCAGCACGAGTGGGCAAGAGTGATCTTCGTGCCAATCCGAGACAGTCTCTTGACGACCAGAAAAGAGCTCTGGCCCCACAGCCCTCTCCGGCCCCACAGGCTCCACGCTCCAGCGCCCCACGCCGCTGACACCACGCAGGTGCGGCCCTCGGCGCAGTTCACTGTCAACGATCTGGCCCCCCTGGCCTCCTCCTGCCGTTTCCCAGGACCAACTGAACTGCTATTCAGAGCAAAGTATTTCCTGCTCTTTTTCCTGACCCACACGTAAACAGGGGTAGAGCAGTGAGTCCCGGCCAGGCCACAGGGAAATGGTGCCGGCGTCACCTGTCACTCTCTCCTCCTGGGACCTGACCCTGCAGGAGAGGTGGCCCGTGGTGGTTCCCGTGAGGAGAACGAGGTTGGGTCTATGTCTCACTAGGTAACCCTGCCCCCTCCTGCCCTACATTCGTCCTGGGTGGGAAGTGAAGTAGTAGCAGCAAACTGCCGTTCTATTCCAATGGCAAGGCCTCTGTTTCTAGAACTGTACTGATTAAGGCTGATCTTAGCCCTGGCTGGTGTAGCTCAGTGGATTGAGCGCGGGCCAGGAACCAGAGTATGGCAGTTCGATTCCCAGTCAGGGCACATGCCTGGGTTGCAGGCCAGTTCCCAGCAGGGAACGCACCAGAGGCAACCATACACTGATGTTTCTCTCCCTCTCTCCTTCCCTTCCCCTCTAAAGATAAATAGATAATAAAATCTTTAAAAAAGGCTGATCTTAGCTCCTCAGGCATTGTGGCTGTTCTAGCTAAGCCAGGTGCAGAAAGATGAGGCCCCACCGGCCCCTGAGCGCCACAGCCTTGTTACCTGTCTGCAGGTACAGGTCCCCGTTGGTCCTGACGACCCAGGCGGTGTCGTCACTCAGCGCCACAAACACAGCCTGGGGCAGCGCCTCGTACCAGTGCCGCTTGCCCTTGATGGTCACCTTCCCACACGCGAAAGCTCGGTTCGACTTCTGCTCGATCTTCCAGAGGAGGGCCCCTGTGGGGACGGAAGCCCAGGTCAGCGACGGAGACACACGCTCCGAGGCGGGTGCCGCGCCGAGAGGGCTGCGCAGACCCTGCCCTTGCTGGGGGCAGAGCCCTGCAGCACCCGAGTCTGAACCTCCGGCCACCAGCTGCCAGCTGCGTGGCTTCGGCATCACGTCACTTAACGTCCCCAACCCTGTTTCCCCATCTGTGAAATGCAGGTGACAGCGCATCAGTGGCACAGCCCAGAGCGGGGCACCCACAGGCGTGTGTGACACGGAACGGGAGCAGGGCCAGCAGCCTCAGGTTTGCCAAGGTGAGTCCCAGTCAACACTGCGAGGCACAGTAGTGTCCAGGGACAGCTGAGGGACCCACAGGGACTCGGGGGGGGGCGCTTCTGGGCCAGCTAAACGGACAAGACCCATGAAAAGGAAAAGGATTCTGGTAAGTAGCAAAAAAGAAGGGTGGGCGGGGGAAGGGGAGACAGGCGGGGGCTCTGCGGGCGGAGGCAGCGGCAGAGGCCGGGCACCAACAGGAGCGCCCGCGGGTCAGAGCGGGGAGAGGAAGCCTGAGGGACCCTGAGTGCAGACACGGCCCTGAGGCACCTCAGCCCAGAAGGGGACGCGGTGGAGACATAGCTCTCACGGGAACGAGGAGGACTGACCTGTCTTCAAAACGCACGGTAACGAACACAATCAGGAAGAACTGAAGTTTCTAAATGGATGGGGACATGGACCCAAAGGTAAATGAACAAGGAAGGGCTGAAACCCACAATTCTCCAACGCGAGCTAACGGGTGGGTCGTTATCATCTGTCCGTGTCCAAGGAAAACTACTCTTCAAACAGGCGGAGGTCAGACCAAGACGCCTGCCGACTCCTCTTTCAAACAGTGACGAAGACCAAGGGGAGCTGGGGGCGGGTCCGGGAAGTCATGGGCACGCCCGCTCACAGACGCAGTTCTGACCGACTTTCCTCCCGACGTGCCAGCGACGCGCCAGGCACTGCAGGGCAGAGACGCGGGAGAGCACGTCTGTCGCCTGCGCACCGCCCAGCCCGGGGAAGGGGCCGACGGGGTGAAACCGGCAGCCTCACTCGGCAAACGCCCGCCCGGCCCAGGCGCAAGGCCTCAGCCTGGCGTCGGAGAACGGACGCTGCTTCCCTCCACAGTCAGGGAGGCCGCCAAGCACGCAGGGGACTCGCTCAGAAACAGTCTCTAAAGAGGAAGCCGAGCGGCCAACTCCCTCCTCGTAAGGAGTATGTTAGCAGCTGCAACTAGCAAACAATCAAAACTTCCAACTGAACACTTATTAACACTATTTAATTGATATCAAACGAAGCAATTCACGATTGGAGAAAACCCCTCACACCTGGCGGGGGGAAGCACACCAGCGGGAGGGGCGGAGGTCCCTGGCGTGTGGGGCGGGGCGAACCTGAGGGCGAGACTGCCACCTGCTGGACGGCATCTTCAAACTTCTGCCAGCGCAGCCCGGCGCCTGGCAAGGCGCTGCAGAAGAGGCTGCCCTTGTAGTCCAGGCACCAAATGTACTTCTCGGAGACCACCAGGCTGAGGATGCCGTAGCCGGGGCCAGAGTAGCCCATCCAGCTTTCTGCAAACTAAGGACAGACCTCGTGAGTTCGGTGGCAGACAGCACGGCTGCGCGTGCCGTGCTGTCGTCAACCAGAAAAGCCCACGGATGTCGTTCAACTCAGAGCCGCGAGGGTCTCTGAGAAGCCCGCAGAGACTGCCCCGCTACCTTCGGAGCAGGGCTGCGCCCCTCCTGCAGGCCCCACAGCTCCTGTAATACCCCCCTAAAGCCAGGGCGCTCACCGCGGGGAGGGGGGGCTCTCTCCTCCACAGGCACAGCTCACCTCATGGAGACGAGGTCTGTAGTGAGAGCCCTGCCACTGCCTGTGTGCGCGGCATGTGTGCATGACACACTTGCGAACATTCCCAGGCCCAGTAGTCACCCTCCAGGCCCAGCCTCATGAGACCCGGTGGGACACGCTTCCGGGCTGGATTCTGAAACTGGGGTTCACTTGCTGGGGTTCTTCTAAAAACCAAAGCTAAATGAAGCCCTGGCTCTTCTGCACAAGAAATCAGCATGTGTGCACAACTGCCCCCATGTGGAAGTCAACTGCTTCGAAGAGGGCCCTGCTCACCACGACAAGCCCCATCTGCCCCCCACAATGCCCCCACACTTGCTGGGCTTTCCAGCTACCCGGAGGGGCCCAGGAGAGGCAGGGCGGGAAGGCAGCAGAGACCCTCAAAGCATGGAGGCTGGACCTGTCTCTCCGGGGGGATGCTTTTCTCAGGTCCTGGCCTCCAGTCCCCCAGTCCCCGCTCTGGACCCCGAGTGCCTGTCAGTGCCGACCTGGGTGGGCGTCTCTGCTGTGGCTTCCCCGCCGCCCTGCACTTTGCTCCCCACGGTCGCCCGAGTCCCACTCAGCCGGATGACCCAACGTGGACATCCACGACCCGCTGTCCTGTGCACAGTGGCGTCCCTGCAGCTGAGGCACTCAGGAAAGGCTGAGCGCACGCAGGACCCGCGGGGTCAGGCCTTCCGGCATCCCGGTGCACAGTGAGGGTGCCGCAGGGCTCGTTCCGAGGGGCAGGGCAGCTCAGAGGTGGAGAGGGGTCCCGCGCCGACCTTGCCCTGCACTTGCTCCGTGTGGGCCAACCCCCCCCCCCCCCCGCCTCCGTCGAGTCCCGGCCCCCTGCTCTGCAGAGCGGGGTGCCAACAGGACGACCTTCTGGCTCCCTCGGCTTCAGAGAAGTTACCGGGCTGAACTTGGGGAGCCAGAGCCGCCCACACCACCTGTTGGTGGCCCCGAGGAGCCAGCGGACTGGAGGCGCGGGGAAGCCGCAGGCGCTGTAAGCTCGACTCGGACTCCACACTGCACATCGCCTTGGCAGGGAAAGTTACAACACACGGCTCCTTTTCCACCCACACCCCTCCAACACTGATCACCTGCTGAGAAAAGTTTGCACTAATTAAGAAGCATTTTATCTAAAATGACCCAGAACAGTCAATAATTGTCTCTAGCGCTGCGGGCTGGCCCCTGGGTGACCTGCCTCCACGCCACAGGCGGAGGAGACAGTCATGGGGAAAGGGCTGCTTCCTGGTGCCGGTTTGGTGTGCACGCCTGTCTGAAGGGGAGGTGGGGACAGTCCCTGCCTCCAGCCTGCTCAGAGCCCCCCCACCCAGGCTCTCTGCCCACTGGCGTTGGAATGGCCCCCAGGCGGTTCAGCCCCTCCCAGAGGCGACCAACCCTCAGTGCCTTGCTGGGCAGGCCGCTGAAGCCGCGGTTCCAGAGCAGGGTGGCAGTTCAGCACAGACCCAGGGCATTCACGGAAACGCCCCCACCCAGACCTCAGAATATCCAGGCTGCAGGTTTTGCAGTAGAAATAGAATTTCTTTCCATGAGAAGGAAAGAACCAGGCCGTCAGTGACTTTCCACAAGAGAGAAGCCCACACACCTGATCTGCCTTCAGCAGCCCGGTGTCCTCCGGGGCCGGCCGGCTCAGGTCCTGCAGGGAGCGGCTGCCTCCGAGCTCCGCCACGCTGGTCTCTGAGGATGACGAGGGCATCCCACGGCCGTAGATATCCTCTTCGTCACTGGACGTCAGCGCCTGATCTCGTGAAGGGTGCTCGAGGTGAGGTTCATAGGTGCTGGCCACCAAGGCAGAGACCGGGGGCATTCCTCGTCCGCCCCCACTCCCCAAGTCACATTCGGAAGTAGCCCCTGCTCTCTGGCCTGTGTCACTGCCAACGACCACAGGCCAGGGCTTCGAGCCCAGGGGGCCAGGAGCCTCCACCTGCATCAGGAGACCCTGCCCTTGGCCGGTCTGCTCGGTGCCGCCTTGGTCAGCTCTGGTCTCCAGCGGCCCCCCCTGAGCACCGGAAGCCCAGCTGAGGCTGGAAGGCACTGGGGGCAAGGCCAGGAGAGGGGCCTCACACAGTGTGCTCTGGGGGGCCTCAGGCTCCAGGCCCCCCACCTCCTGGGACTCAGCAGAGCTATCCTGTTCTGGGCAAGGTGACGGCCTGCTATCGGGTCCATCGTGCGCAGGACAAGGCTCCTCCTTGGGTTCTGTGACGTCACCGCCCTCCACGACTTCCCCCAGCTGCAACGGCAAACTCAGCACCTCACTGTGGGGCCCCATCTCGCCTGCCTGGGTCCAGCGTGGGGTTGCCATCCTGTTGTCATCTTCACTGAGTAGGTCAGGGGCGGGCTCAGACACCCCCAGGACACTAAATGCCTCCGGGTCACTATGGTCCTGCAGGACACCATTCACTTCAGCACTGAGGTTGCTCTCCGGGTCGGCAGACTCTGTGCTCAACTGACCCAGACTCGAGGTCGCAGACAGCAGGTCTGCGTTCAAGGACTGGGGACTGTCGCCGGGAAACTCACAGCAGGGAGTCGACTCCAGGGAGCTGTGCCAGGTGTCCCTGCTTCCGCCTTCTGTTTTAAAATAAGAGCGTCTAAAATGAGGTGTGGCTCTACACAGAGATACGAGTTAAAAACCAAAATTTTGTTTCAAAAAATGCATTTTCAATAAATGAAAAACGCATTTTAAACTGGCAAAGAAACATCTCTTAAGTACAAATTATGCCAATGCAGGGATGTTTTAAATGGATGCAAATATTCTACACGCGATGGATGCTGAGGCCTCACTCGTGAAATGTTACGTAAGAAAATAAAGAACATGCCCTGGCTGGTGTGGCTCAGTGGACTGAGCCCCAGTTTGTGAACCAGAGGGTGGTTGGTTTGATTCCCAGTCAGGGCACATGCCTGGGTCCCCAGTGTGGGGCATGTGAAAGGCAACCACATACTGATGTTTCTCTCCTTCTCGTTCCCCCTCCCTTCCCGTCTAAAAATAAATAAAAGTAAATAAATAAAATCTTTTAAAAAATAAAGGGCAAACTACAAACTTTTAAAAATTATTAAAATGCTTAGGAATATGATAAAAATGTCCTCCAATACCACAGTGATCTTCAGCTAAGAGTTCGAGGGGCACCACGGAGTAAAAAGTTAAAGGGTTCAATGTCAAGCCCCAACCTGGTAACCAACACATCTGGCAGTTAAGACAAAGCGACCCATCCCGACACTGGCGACAATCTTGTCTCCGTGGGCTCCCGCGTAGGGTCACAACATCTCTGGCCTGGTGCCTGGTTCACACAAATGAACCAGCACTTTAAGGCCCGACGAGTGTCCCACCCAGGCCCCTGGGGCGGGCCGGTAGCACACAGGCGCGTAGCACTGTTCGGGCCTCACTGGTGCGCGCAGCCTGTGCGAGGGAGGGGGACCATGCTCTCGCAGACCCGCTGCTGCCCCCGAGGGCAGTGCCCACAGGGTGGGACATGGCACTGCGCGTGCCTTGCCGTTGACCTCACGTACCTGCCCTCTTCTTCCTCTTCTTCTTCCTAACTTTGAGAGGCTGCACCACGAGCTCCTGGTCGAAGTCTTCCGAGCTAATGACACTGAACCGCTGGCAGGCGGGTGGGCTGTCCCTGCCGAGCTCCGGGGCCGCCTGGGGCCCAGAGCCACTGTCAGTGGAAGTGAGGGACCCGCTCCTGCTCCTGGGCTCGCTGGCCGCAGAGCTGGCCACGGAAGCGCCCCTGAGCCTCGCCTCACAGGACGCATCCCCCGGCGGCTTCTCCGCATGCTGTGCGGGGACCTGCTCTGCGCATCCTGGCGTCTCGAGACCGTCTCGCGCTGCGAACAAAGAGTCAGCTTTACCACTGTCTGTCCCAGAGAAAGCCGACCTGCCTGACGCCAACCTGCCCTGAGCACCAGCCACTGACTTCAGAGAAACGAGCAAAACTCAGACTCATGTGGAAGATTCCAACTGACGGCTTTGTTCTCCAGGAAGCTCACGCACCAGTGTCGGCACACCCAGTCGTCGCAGCCGTCCTGTAAGTAACCAAACAGGAGGGGCCACCACTACCAGTGGGGCACTTCTCCTTCTATTCACAGATGGCTTTCAGGGGCGGGAGGCTAGTCTGAAACAGAGCTTCGTGCTGTCTCACAGGCACCCAAGGCCTTCAATACACTTTGATACAATACTACTCAGTGGGCATTTGAAAAGTACTTATCCTGGCTGGTGTGGCTCCGTGAACTGAGTGCTGGCCTGTGAAGCAAGGGGTCGCTGGGTGGATTCCCAGTCAGGGCACATGTCTGGGTTTCAGGCCAGGTCCCCAGTAGGGGGCGAGGAGAGGCAATCACACATTGTTATTTCTCCCCCTCTTTCTCCCTCTCTTCCCCCCCTCTAAATATAAATAAATAAAACCTTAAAAAATGTGTATGTGTACAAGGTCTGTCCAGAAAGTATCCAGTCATGTAACGTGAAAACCAGCGATGTTTACTGAAGAAGATACAAAATACAAGAAACACTGTACGCAGAACAATGAATGACGCCTCAGTCCCTCCAAAGGAGGCACCTTGGACCTCACACAGTTCTAATCACCATCAGCAGCCCCGTCGTATTTTCCTGAATCTCACTGATGGTTTGAAATCTCTTTCCTTTCAAAGGTGATTTTAGTTTTGGGGAAAGGCAGAAGTTGCAGGGCACCAAATCTGGGCTGTAGGAGGGCTGGGTCACCTGGGTGACTTGATGTTTCACCAGAAAACTCTGCATGAGATGTGATGCATGAATGAGCAGGTTGTTGTGATGAAGCTGCCAATCACCGGTCGCCCACGGCTGCGGCCATTTTCATCGTATTGCACCTCTCAACCGACGAAGATCACAGGTAGTGCTGCTTATTAATTGTTTGGTCAGGAGGGGCGAGCAGACTCTTGATGGACAGCACCTTCCCAACCAGAAAACACAGTTAACATGGTCCTGACCTTGCTGCCACTTTGCCACACCTTCTTCGGGCATGGAGAACCAGGAAGACCCTTCTGGGCCTTCCCGTCCTGGTCATACGCACCGCAGATCCGTGGTCAACTCCAGTCATGACCTTCTTGAGGAAACCAGTTCATTGGTAGCCGTCTGAATCAAGTCGTTGGGAACTGCAGCGTGATGTTCCTTCTGCTCTGGTAGCAGAAGCCACAGAATGAATTTTGCCACAAAACGTTTCATGCCAGGACCTTGCGTCAGAATCCCGGACACAGTCGTTTCTGGAACCCCCAGCTCCACTTCCAGTCCTCACACTGTCGGCCGCCGATCTTTGTCGACTGCAGCCCGTCCACGTTCAACAGTCTCAGGTGATCTGCTTGTCGCAGGCCTTCCAGAGTGTGGATCACTTTCAACAGGTTCTCGATCGTCTCTGAAGCATCTGTGTCCCGCTTGTATTTGCGCTGCACTCATATCATCATCTCTGAAAGCCTCCAAATCATCCCAGTAGTTTCTACGGAATAGTGTTCAGGCTTAAAGCAAAATTTGACGTGGATTCGTTGCTCTGCTCACTCAGGCGTTTTGAATGCAGTGGCCGCACAGTGCACATGCTCACTCAGTGCCATCTACCACCCCCACTGACTAGTCAGTGAAGTCGTCATTGTTCACGCATGAGCATTCCAGTCCACTCTCTGTGGCTGCCAGGTTACATCCATGTCGTGCAGACTGTTCTCATTATATTAACAATGGCTGGACTTCTCCTGGACAGACCTTGCATGCCTGAAATTAAACTTCTCAGAATCCAAGAGGGAAGGTAGTTTTCTGCTGGGACGGACTCAAGACAGGTGGCCCACTAGAGCAGCCAGAGCCTGACCCAAGCAGTGGGCACGGACAGGAGTGGCCGCGGAATGCCCTCCACAGACTCATCCTCCTCTCACCACGGCCCCAGAAGGCGACCAGGGCCGGACGGCTACAGCCCAGTCCCCTCTGACCTACTGAGTGCCAGACACCATCCAGGTGCTGAGCCATGGCCGTCCACTAGGCAGGGACCCTGCTGCCCTGGGGACACCAGGGCCGGGCTGCAGGCTCCGCACACATAGGACCAGGGGGCAGAATGCGGCGGAGTGAGCCCCGGGCAGGGAAGTGGCCCGTGGGAGGTCACTCAGCCGATGGCAGAGCTCACCTACAGCTGTGCCATCCACTACAGAAGCCACCAGTCACGTGGCTGTTTAAATTCAGATTAGTTACAATGAAACGAAACTTAAAATTCAGTTCCTCAGTTGCGCTCGCCACATCCCAGGTACCCAGCAAACGCGTGTGGGCAGCGGCCACCTACTGGACAGTGCAAATACAGAGCAAGGAAGGGACAAGGCTATTCCAACCCTAGGAGGAAAGGCGCTGGGTGGCAGGCAGACAGGTTTCCCATTTCCCACAGCTTATTATGAGGGACAAACGGAACACCTTCAGACCTACTCTGGGAACTTCAGAGGCCCCACAGACGCGGGGCTGAGGATGAGATCGCAAGTGGCGAGTGCTTAGCACGGTCTCTGGCACACAGTGAGTCTGAGAGTGAGAGTGAGGGGCGGGGCCCACTGGCTGCTCTGGTTACCACGGGGAACAAGGCCACTGAGCAGCCCCAAACGTACTGAGTACCAAGGGTGTGTGCAAGAGAAGCCATAGTTTGGCTCATTGGAATTTGGGCTTATATGAATTACAAAAAGCAAGCCAAAAGCACACAGAATAATAACCAATTCTACAAGCAAGAACTGCAGTAAGAATAAAAAAAGTCCCAGCTGACTAACTTAAATGCTCTAAAATCTTATGCGAATGTAGGTCTTCTGGAGTCCGAACCCCACCCGCTGCCAGAGTATCAGAGGTCAGTCACGTGGACGCAAACGTGGGGCTCTCTCTCCCTCCCCCTCCCTCGCTCCCCCACCCGTGCCGGACCCACGGGAGCAACTCTCAGGATCCCAAGGACGGTGAGACGTCCTCCCGCGGCCCTCCTTGTTTAGATGAGCTCCAACCACTGAACCGCAAAACGGCAAGTCTCACAAAGGAAACCCGGCGACTTCATCGTAAATACAGACCTACTGACACCAGTCCTTCCGGTCTGCTTGAAATTCTTATGATGTTCCTGTCTCCCTTTAAGAGAAATATTTCGTTTTCTGTGCAGGAAACAGACACGATATCACCTGATCCTTCCAAACCAGCGATTGTGGCCTGTCCAAAAATAAAAAACAAAACAAATAAAATCACCAAACCGGCAACAGTAACCGATCCGAGCGTGCAAGCAGGTCAGCCGGCCACTGCTCATGGTTGTGACAACTTCCTGGGACTCCTCAGGGCGACTCAGCCCGCAGGGCAGTGACACCCGACAGGCAGGTGTGTGACCTGCAGATGCCCTCCTCGCCAGCAACTTCTCGGGCGGGAGGAGCCGTCTCGTCCTGCCGCTCGGCCACTCGGGACCACGTCCTCAGCTGCCGCCCACGCCCTGTGACAAGGAGCTTCTCCTCCCTGGTGGGACCTGACTGTCAGCCAACACAGCTCTGCTCTTAAGAAGAAGCTAAAGAGACTTCTGCCAAGATGGAGGCATAGGTGGAGACGCCGTGCTTTCTCACACAACCAAGTTTAGAGACAACAAAATATTAGCAACAGAAAACACAGCCGAACACAGAAAATTGAACTTTTCGGAAGTCTGTTAACAACAAATTCTTCAGCCTGACTGACAGACCAGTGAGGGAGTGGGCAGTGAGACGAGACCAAGCAGGCCCCAGCGGCGAGAGGCAGCAGAGGGGGCTGCCATTTCCCCGCTCTGACCCCGCCCCCACATACAGCCTCACAACCCAGCAACCGGGTGGCCCCGCCCTGGTGAACATCTAAGGCACCTCTCCTCATACTTAACAGGTGAGAACAGACCAAAAATGGCTCAAGAAGATCTCAAAGCCCCAGAGCCCATAACTCTAAGCGACGAAGAAATAGCAAAACTTTCAGAGGCACAGTTTAAAACACTGGTGATCAGGATGCTCACAGAACTGGTTGATTATAGTCACAAATTAGAGGAACAAATGAAGGCTAAACTAATTGAAATGAAGGGAATTGCACAGGAAACCAATAGTGATGAAAAAGAAACTGGGACTCAAATCAATGGAGCGGACCAGAAGAAAGCAAATAATGGCCAAACAGAAAAGAGTGAAGAAGCAAGAATTCAAATAAACGAGGAGAGGCTTAGGAACCTCCAGGACATCTTTAAACGCTCCAACATCAGAATTATAGGGGTACCAGAAGGGGGAAAGGCACAGCCACCAGTGGAAAACTTATTTGAACAAATAATAAAGGAGAATTTCCCCAATCTGGCAAAGGAAATAGACTTCCAGGAAATCCAGGAAGCTCAGAGAGTCCCAAGGAAGGTGGACCCAAGAAGGAACACACCAAGGCACATCATCATTACATTAGCCAAGATTAAAATGAAGGAGAGAATCCTAGAAGCAGCAAGAGATAAGGGGACAGTCACCTACAAAGGAATTCCCATCAGAGTGTCAGCTGATTTCTCAAAAGAGACCTTACAGGCAAGAAGGGGCTGGAAAGAAGTATTCCAAGTCATGAAATCCTAAGACCTACAACCAAGATTGCTCTATCCAGCAAAACTTTCATTTAGAATGGAAGGGCAGATAAAGTGCTCCTCAGATAAGATCAAATTCAAGGAGTTCATCATCACCAAGCCCTTATTATATGAAATGTTAATGGGACTTATCTAAGAAAAAGAAGATAAAAAAGATGAACAGTGAAAGGACAGCAAAGTCACAGTTATTAACAACCACACCTAAAACAAAAGCAAACTAAAAGGACAGCTAGATCAGGAGCAGAAACATAGAAATGAAGATCTCATGGAGGGTTAGCAACAGGGGAGTGGGAGGAGGAGAAGGGGGGAGAAGGTACAGAAAATAAGTAGCATAGACGTTAGTAGAAAATAGATGGGGGGGCAAAAATAGCATGGGAAATGTAGAAACTAAAGGACTTGAGACACATGGTCATAAACTAAAGGGGGGGTAATGGTGGGGACGGGGGGGTAGGGTGGAGGGGAATGAAGGGGGGGAATACAACAACTATAATGGCATAATCAATAAAATAAAAAAAATTAAAAAAAGAAGCTAAAATGAAAGTTTTTGTTTCATTTTTTATCCTTACCTGAGGACATTTCTTCATGAATTTTAGAGAGAAGAAGGGAGAGAGAAAAACAGAGCAAGACAGAAGCCTCGACTGGTTGCTTCTGTACTCGGCCTGACCGGGGATCAAACCTGTAACTTTTTGGTTATGGGACAACATTCCAACCAACCGAGGCACATCGGCCAGAGCAAAAGTTTTGTTCTATGTTTTTTAAAGTTCCTGTACCCACCTCTAAAAGTAATACTCTATTACTACCCTGAGTTAAACACAAACGGCTTCCTACCACAATGGAACGCTGAAAGTTGTCCAAAACGCAGACGGCAGAATACTGCGCGTCCGCTGGGTGGCGAGAACAAGTCGAAGAGTTCGGGGTGGAAAGGAGGCTGGAGAGAGAGTCCTGCCCTGCTCACGCCACCCGGGGAGGTGGCTCTCTGTGAGTGCCTTTGTCAGACTGCGTCTGTATTTGATACGCTCAGTCACTGGTCGTCAGGAAAAAGGAGACCCAAACGGACTATAAAGAACGAGTCTAATTTTGTGCTCAAGTGCAAACACACACACACGAAAACCAACACCCGATTTCTTGGCAGGGGGAGCACTACGAATAGCAAACCAAGTATCTTTTCAAATCCAGGAAAATAACCAGGCCTTCCCCTGACGTCTGTGAGTGGCCCAGGAAAAAGCGAAGCACCCGAGCCCACCCTGCCCGGCCCCCACGGCGAGGGGCGGGAACACCGGGATGGGCCGTGGTCCTGCGCTTACCTGGTTGACGGTGTCTAGAAGGTAAACGCTGTACTCGTTCCAACTCAGCACCCAGCCTTCCTGGAAGAAGCACGAAACGAGCCCCAGGTGCTTCTCAGGTCCGCAGCCACTCGCCTGGTCCCAGGGCTCTCGGCGCGGGTACAGCTCGAAGGGCTTGGCTCCCGCGGCGAAGGCGTCCTTTAGGATGAACGTGGCCTGAACCGTCCCGTGGACGTCGGCCTTCCATAGCCGGAGCCCCGGCCGCGACGCGTACAGGGTGAGGTCGCTCTGCTTACAAAGTCCTGGTATGAAGCACGCACCAAACCTCCCTGTGCTGAGGTCGAGAGAAAGAAGAAGATGCTGACTGACTCCAGGTGGTCACGGACACGAGCTGGGACAGGAGTTTCTGGCGGAGCCCACCAAGGTCGACGATTCAGAACCCTTTCTACTGAAGCACACCGCCTCCCCGTGCCCGGGGGACAAGGTGTCTGCCCCACGTCCTCACAACACCCCAGGGCCCCCCCGTCCCCGGCCACACAGCTCGAGTGGCCGGGCATTCTCCACACTCCAGCGTCTCACTCAGCCCCTCGGTGACTACATCCCCCTGGACGGGCCCAGGAGGACAGCAAGCACCAAACCCCTCTGAAATGAAGACTGCCAGGCTGGCCGGAGCGTGCACAGGTCACCCAGCACCGTGTGGCACCACCGCCCTGGGCGGGCTTGCTCAGGGGGCTTTCTGACAGGGATCGGAGGGTCCTCGCAGGGCCGCCGTGACCCCTCCCCCTCCCTCCTGCTTCTGTCACACCAGCCTCCATCTGGTGACCCAAGTGCCAGTCTGTTTCCTTCAAGGAACAGGGGGGCCCCTAAAAGATCCTGTCACCTCCATGTTCCGTGTTCACCTTGGGTGACTAAAGCGTCCCCTTGAACAAGCGGGGAGTGAGTCCCTAGGTCATGTGGGGCACTGTGTGCGGGTGAACGGTCATGACAGCACCTGGGAAGGACTGCCCCAGAGCTCAGGGGCTGGTCAAAGGGGCAGGTTGGGGCTGCAGTGTAAGAAGGCAGGACCGGCACGCTGAGCGGACACTTAACGCCAGGTGGAGAAGAGGGGAATGGGCATTCTGAGTGGGCACACGCTCGAGCAGGGTGCTGTGGGTAGTGGGTCGGGAGGAGGCTCAGAATTTGGGGGTGACCGGCTTGAGCCAGGTGGGACTGTCCTGAAGCCTGACTGGGCGCCCTCCGCCCACCGCAGTGACCCTGCTGCACTGCGGGTGTCGCCCTGACGGGACACCGGGACGGACACCAGGCCCAGCAGGATCCTGACGTCATAAATAATTAACCTTGTTCCTTCGTTTGGGTGGAGACGACTCCAAAGAACAGCAGGCAGAAAGTAACCTGACTCCCTTCGTGAGCCTGTCAATGCGAAGGGAGTGCTTTCTGGTTAACAAACTCTAGTCCTAAAATAGTGTTTTCTAATTTTATGTATAATCTGCAGTGCCACAGAGGCCAGTAAGTGAGGATGAGAGTCTGCCGTGGGTGCAGGGAGCAGGCCAAAGCCGTGACGAGCATCTCCACAGCCAGACACCCAAAACCATGCAAGGGGCACGGTGGTGACACTGTCCCAGAACTTGACACCAGCTCTGCCCGGGGCGCAGGCCCCACACCGCACCCCCAGCACCCACTGGGTGGCTCTGTCGATACGGGACACCCGGCTGCTGGGCCTGCGGGAGACACGGCAGTGGGTGTGGGGCAGACGCTGCCGTAAAGTAACGACACAGAAACACAGTGGAGAGTGAAGGCTGGGCTGGAGGCTTCTGGGAGTGACGTGAATGTTCTGTCCAACCTGAGGAGGTGCAGGCTTGATCAGAGAGGCCGCCGTGACCACCTGCCACCACTGAGCCCCCCATCGCCCCGCCTGTCCCGTCCCATGTCTCCACAGCCCCTGGCCCCCTTCTGCGTCCGCAAACACTCCGAGTCCTGGCCTGGTCCCAGGCCTTGGCTTCCGTCGTTCCCTGAGACCAGAGTGCTCTGCCCACGCTTCAGGGAAGCGTCTCAGACATGCCTCTCAGAGAAGCCCCCTGCATGCTTCACCCTGCCTGGCTGCCCACGACGTTTACCGCAGCCCAAGAACATGCATCTCACCGGAGGCACAGACCTGTCCCCATCCTCAGTGGGCATTCACCCGACAGAGTCCAGTGAGCCACCACGTCTGAGGGTGGGGGCTGACGCCCTCCTAAGCGTGATCCAAACAGCACACACTCGGTGTCATCCCCCCTCTCGAAGGGGACGCTCTGATTTGTTTCTGTGTCCTGGTGCACGGCACACTCGGAACACTGGGCACCGCCATGCCAGGACCTGACCACAGACACGCCAGGCGAGGCTCACAGAAGGGTGGCAGGTTCCCGCAGAGCCCAGAAGGCCAGGTGTGAAGATAAAGACTGCGGGGAACCAGGCCCAGGTGAAAGGCAATGGCCGGTACGTCTTCACACTCCACCTGCCTTCCAAAAAGTCACAGCGTAGCGAGACACTGTCAGACAAGGCCGGGCGGGACACCAGGTGTGGCGGACACCGGCCGAGGGAGACCAGGGCCCACGCCGCAGGGTCCCCTTTGGTGGCGATGGGCGCTCACACAGGACCACACCCGGCTGGCCTCAGCTGCCGTCTCCCACTGGCACCGCCAGCCTCGCGGGCCTCCTCAGCACCTGCCAGGCCACGGCGTTTTCAGGCCAGCCTGCTGTCTGCTCTGCGCACCCTCCAGCCCAGCCAGTGCTCTGACTCCTCCAGCTCCCACCCACCCACCCCCGCTCCCCTCCGTGCGCCCTCCTCCTCGCTCCCCACCAATGCTCATGCCGCACACAGTCCTGCCCAGGAGTCTCCGGGTGGGACCACGAACGTGAGCTACCCATGTGCTGCCGCCGTCTCTGCCCACGTGGCCGGCAGGCGGACTTGGCCCAACCCGTCAGGCCCAAAGAGGGACAATCTCTCAGCCTGGAACCCTCCCTGCCCTGAAGACCCTGGTACTTGTGGCCAAGTGGCTGTACCGCAGAGGAACAGGCTGCGGACCTGCCGGGAACCCCAGGCTCCGAGCCGCTGTGGGCTGCATGCAGCAGACTGGAAGCGTAGAAAAACTGTAACCCCAGCCGCCGCCCAGCTGGAACACTGGAGCCCTTACCTTTTCCTTGGCTGGGCCCCAACCTGCTGGACGGACTGCTCTTCAGTGTGGAACAGCAGGCTTCGCTGCAAGGTGGACACCAGCAGCACCTTCTGGCTGTAGTCCAGCTGCACAACTGAGGACGGCTCTTCCAGCACCAGGTGGGAGCTGCAGGCGCCCTGCGGGAGGCAGTCCCGTCACCCGAGGCGGAGGTGAGCACGCCTCCACCGGCCTCTTCCGGGACCAGCGCACACCCCTCCGTCGAGTTTATGTCGGTCAAGTCCCCCTTCAAATGCACGCCCTGACTCTCCTCAGATTCGGCGTCAGCCCCTGCCCTGGGACTGGCTGGAGAAGTCCTCGCTAGTGAGAGCGGTAACAGAAGTGTGACGGAAGGTGGCCGGGCTCCATTCCCAGTGTCCTTGGCAGACGCGTGGGGGTGGGGGCACTCACAAGGACCCGCACACACTTCCTGTCATGCAGGAGCCCCTGGGCTTTCTACGGAGTGACCGTGAAAACGACCAGCTAAGCTCACCTCACGCTTTCCTCCCACAAAGCAGCTCTGGGGACATTTCATTCCTGTCAACTGGAAGGGTCCAAGAAAACAGGCGGAAATTGAAATGAAAACGGCACTAAATACAGCGAAGAAGGGAAGTGGAAGTCCAGAAGGCACTTTGCTGCCAGCACAAACCCCACTGCTCGGCGTTGCCGCTCTACTTGCGGGGTCGCTCTTCCCCGGAACCAGCTCCTCCAGTTGAGAAAGGCAGCCTTGCAGGGGGAGAGCGAGCAGGGGTGGGGCCTGCTGGGGAAGTCCAGGCGCACAGCCCGCCCCTGCAAACAGACACACAGCTCTCACGGCCCCGAGGATGAAGACAGCAACTCTGCTCCTCTCAAACATCGCGGGTTTTTCAGGCAAATTCCCTGCCCACATTGGCAGTTATGCAAGCCGTAGCTTTTTAGTTTTTGGCTTACCTTGTAATGAATGCAGTGAAATTTACTGTACTGAATTTTGCAAAAACATGCATCCTCCCATACCTTTTTCTCTTTTTTACATATCTCACAGAGCAGTTGTGTCTCTTAAGAAAATGATCAGAGCCTCCACAAAGCAGGGGAACACGACCAGCCTGCCTAGGACACTGCTTCCGGCATGCACAGCGCCCTCCGTGCTGCTCCCCCCACCCGAGGGCGGGCCCTCGGCCCGACACAGAACATCCCCCACAGAGCGGCGGTTCTCCAAGCGCGGACCCCAACCCCACTCCCTGAGCGTCCCCAGGGCCCTATCCACGGGGTCTGTGAGGTCCAAACGACTTTCACCTTGGTCCGAGGCTGCATCAGCCTCATTCGGAGGGGACACTGGCACTGATGGCGTAGGAGCCGCGCGCGGGCCTGGGGGGGGGAGCCCCGGGAGCCGCGGGGGTGGGCCCGCTGAGCTGCAAACCCAACTCCACCGGTCTCACTGGGCCCCCACCACGCACTCGCAGCAAAAACACTCATTTCAAGGACGGTGCTTCTGATGCGGAGAGAGGACAGTGTCCCAGGACCCCAGCCCTCGGGCACGTGTTGCCGTGCGCTGGCCACTGCACACGGAAGGGCTCGTCCTGTTGAGCAGCAAGTGCCCGAGGGGGCGCTGGCGCTGCCGGTGGAGCGGCCATCAGACACTCCTCCCCTGGAGTGCTGGCACTGCTCCAGCTCCGGGCGTTGGACGGACAGGTGTCGGGAAGAACAAAGGGAGCCAGTTCCTCACGGGCAAGTGACGGAGTCTGCAGCTGGTAATAAAGTTCAAGTTTTCCAATGAAGGTCAGAGCTGAAACCGTGACTCCACCCTGGTGAGCCTGGGAGGTGCCCAGTCACCAAAGACTCTTCTGACCAGAACGACGGCGATGCTGACCAAGGCGCTCCCTTCCGCACTGTGCAGCTGAGTGCGTCAGCACCCACAACTCGGCCTCGCCCGGTGGGCCAGCCTGCTCCAAGCGGCCACCGCATGTCAGGCCAAGGAGCCAGTGTGAGCGCAAACGGGCTGTGGGCTTCATGGCGGCAGAGCACGGGAAGTGCGTCCCTGTGGTTTCAGTCCACGTGTGACCGACCTTTACAGACACTGCCATGAGTCACCTGGGGAGAGAACTGAAGGCGAGGACCCACGACTCTCCGAGAGGCTCTGCCTGAGCGGGGCCAGGCTCCTCTCGTCCCCCACCGGCACCGCGCACTCGGGACAGAGGCCAGGTGCCCTCCACCAGCCCAGACGCGAGAGGAGCTGACAGAAACGCAAGGCAATGCCACTCTTACTCATGCTAACATACAATAGGGTAATTATTTCAAGATAAAATTAATAAATATTTTTAAATTTCTTAAAGGTTTTTAAATAATGTTTTATTAATTTATCTTTAGAGGAGAAGGGAAGGAGAGAAGGAGAGAAACATCGATGTGTGGTTGCCTCTCGCACGTCCCCTGCTGGGGACCTGGTGCACAACCCAGGCACGAGCCCTGACTGGGAACTGAACTGGTGACCCTTTGGTTCACACGCCAGTACTCAATCTGCTGAGCCACAGCAGCCAGGACTTAGTTCTGACGTCTAACACAGGGCACACAGTCGATGTAACTCAAACGAAACCACATGTGCTGGAATGAAGGCCACCGATACGAACTCAAAAGGCCACGCCACTGAGGAGTTCGGTCTAGCCGGCACAGGCGGCACGAGGCCACTCGTGCAACGGGGATGGCTTTGGGGCCGCAGCTCAGTCTGCAGTTTTGCTCTGCCGGGGCCAGCCACTTGTGACCGGGGCCTAAGACCGCGCCTCCTAAAGCGGCCTCTTCCCTGCACTGACGGGGAGAACATACAGCCCAGGGCGCTCTGTTCAACAGAACAGCAACACGGGGGTGGGCCTGGGCGGGTGCTGCCACCGAACGCCCCCACCGGCCACTTGCTTGCACACGGGGCCATCGCACACAGGTGAGGTGGGCGAGGGGCTGGCTGCCAGCCCACCGAGAGCACTGAGCTCCATCCACCGTTCTGGCTCAGAAGAGCGTCGCTCCGCTCCTACAAGCCCTTCAACAAATGAGCAGTGACAGGGACTTCCCTTCAAAGCAGAAGAAGAGGCACCAGGAGAATGAAAACAGCGAACACCCCAAGAGAAACAAAGGCCACTCTTTAATCACAGAAGTCGAAGCTTATGAAACATTAGAAAAGCCCTGGAGAGAACACGTTACAAGAAACAACTGAGATTATAACGGGTCGATGAAGAATACAAGCCTGAGTCACTGAAGATACAATTACAAATATCATTTCAGAGCATCAGCAATGTTCTACTTTACCTGGTCCAGGTCCAGAGAAGAGTAGACGACCTTCCCTCTGCCGTCCCCAGAGAACAGCTTCATGCCGTTGGGGCTCCAGGCCAGCGCTGTGATGCTGCTTCTGTGGATGCCGGCGACGTCAAACCTACGCAGCTGTGCAGCAGCGACAAAGCACAGGACGGAAGAGAAGGCACTGTGACAGGCGCCGTGCGGACAGGGGGCGGAGCCTCCTGTTCCCGCAGGAAGGGGCTGGGTGCCATCTGCCTGTTTCCTGCCAAACCCAGGGGACGGCCAGCGAACACGGAGCGGAAGTTAAATCGCCCGCATGTGCTTCTTGCCAAGTGTCCTACCGGGAACGAGAATGCCACCCGACTAAGAAGAACACCATGCTCAGCTTTTCTGAACTTTTATCTTCCAGGCAGATGAGGGTCTCTCCCTTCGGAGCCCAGGGGAAGCGCGGCCGCAGCAGGGGACCGATGCTGACCTGCTTGTTCCTCCCGGGCAGTGCCGACACCAGCTGGAAAACGGCCACCCTCCCGGAGGCGGTGCCTGCGGCCACCAGGTCGTCGAAGCAGCTCAGCAGCTTCACCGCAGTGATGGACTCCGCTCTCCCCTGGGGAAGCACCGGAAACAGCACCTGTGAGCGGCCGCTCCCGGAACGGAGAGCCTGGCCAGGGGACTGGAAAACTTCATCGGGCTGTAGCCTGTGCATATTGCCGAGAAAAATGCACACAATCCAGGAAGACAAACCTGTTAAAACCCGGTTTTCTTTTTTGCTTTTGGCACTGAGGGGAGTGAACAAAGGCAGACTCCTCCTAAGGGTCTGCGGTCCCAAGCCCGCCCTGCTCAGTGTCAGGACGGGCACTGTCCCTCCACTCAGACGCAGCTCCGGGCCAGGCGATGTGACGGACAGGCTTCCATGTGAGGAGCACCCCGGGCACCTGGCTGAGCGAACTAGCCCCACCGGTGGGAGGCAGTCCTGGGCCGGCCCCTCGGCATCCGCACACGTCAGGGGCCGGGAAGGGGAATCAATTAGGAAAAGCGATAATGGCCTAGCACGACCCCTCACCCCCACTCAAGCGCTCCATTTAGGTTGGAGAGATGCAGAAAACAAATGTGCTTATTAATGTTTAAAGAAATATAAAAGGAAACAAAGCGCAGAGCAAGCTGCCACCAGAAGCAGTCAGAGAGAAATGAAAAGCAACCGAAAGAACTGGGAGCTGCCGTGGCGGGTCCAACAGGTCAGTCGCAGCCGGAGGACGGACTGAACTGGGTGACAGACGCCCGCGACGCAGACGCGGAGAGAGAGACACGCGCGAGGAGGCAGAGGACAGAGCGCGGCCGGGCGGCAGAAACGTGGGCTCGCAGTGGTCCCAGACCAACACCAGGCCTGCGTCCTCGGGGGCACGGCCTGGACAAGATGTGTGAAAGCGCACACACGAACACTCCTGGTAGTGAGACGGTAACACCCCAAAGACAATGACAAGATGGGGGTATGTCACAGAAAGGCAAATAAGCAAACAGGACAACCATTAAGAAACAGAGTTCTTGATAGCAGCAGTGCAGTCCAGAACGCAGCGAAATACCATCTTCAAAGGGGCTGAGAGAAACAAGCTGCTGGCCCGCGGGTACACCTGCCACAAAACTCGAAGACAGAGCCAGTCGAACAACAAAAAACCCCGGAGTGCTTACCCCCGAAAGACCTCGCCACGGGAACCCCTGAAGGTCGTGCTCCAGAAAGAAGGAAAACGGCCGCGAAGGGAAGAACTGAGGGGCAAGGGGGACGACGAGAGAAGAAGCTGCAGAAGTGCAGGGGACGGGAACAACGGCTGCAAGTACGGTAACGACGTCCCGCCTGAGCAGCAAAAGTGTAACTACCACACTAGACGGTTACCTGTGTGGTGAGAAGGGCCAGAGACGCCGTAAGGAAACTGCGAACTGCAGCTGACCCCCGGACAACGCGGAGGTTGGAGGTGCAGACAGAAATCCATACATAACTTCGACTCCCCCAAACATAACTACTAACAGCCTACTGTTGACTAGAAGCCTTTCCAATTAATAAACAGTTACATATTGTACGTTATACGAATTATATACTGTATTCTGACGATAAAGTAAGCTAAAGGAGAGAAAATGTTATTAAGAAAATCATAAGAGAAAATACATTCACAGTGCTATACATATTTTTTGGAAGAAAATTCTGCCTATAAGTGGACCCATGAGGTTCAGACCCATGTTGTTTGAGGGTCAACTGTACAGATCAATATTCTCATGAACACGAAACCTTAACAAAATGTTACTAAAGTGAATACAGCAAGACTTATAAAAAGGATAATATAACATAACAGAGACTGGTCACGTCATATTATCAATACACTTGGCTGGTGTGGCTCAGTGGATTGAGTGCCAGGCTGTGAACCCCAAGGGTCACTGGTTCGATTCCCAGTCAGGGCACACGCCTGGGTTGTGGGCCAGGTCCCCAGTAGGGGGCATGTGAGAGGCAACCACACATCGATGTTTCTCTTTCTCCCTCCCTTCCCTTCTCTGAAAATAAAGAAATAAAGATCTTGGGGAAAAAACCCACATGAGGGCGAGGTTCACAGCAGTGGTGCATGGCTGGATTAACAACCAAAATTCAACGCGTATAATAACATGTTAATGGAACACAGAAGAAAAATCTTATAGTCTCAACAGACTCAGAAAGTATCTGACAAGCTTCCATTCCCACTCACAGTAAAAACTCTCAGAAACTGGGAGCAGAAACAAGAAGCACCTAGTGGAAGCCACAGCCAGAGCTGCAGTGAAGGCAGCTCGCACTGGGGACGGACCCTGAGCACTGGCCGCGCAGGCCCCACTGAGGAGCTGAAGGCACATGGACTGGAAGAGGCGAAGCTCCGCCCACAGGCAGCCGGGGTCCTCCGTGGAGAGCACCTGGGGACATCACAGAACAGGGCACCACAACCGGTCTTTCTGAGCGCTGGCAACAGAAACGTGACGGAGGTGAAGTTGCCGTGCCGCTGTCGCGTCCCCTGGGCCATGGCCGAGTGCCCGACAGCAGACTGGTGGGAAGGGACAGCCCACTCGCCACCTGCGAGTCTGCATCTCGGCACAGAGAGCTTCGTTCCTGACACTTCTGGTCACCAGATGGGTGCCCCACGACAGCAAGCAAGTCCCCGACAGCAGCCGATGCCCTACTGTTAACTCAGTCCTGACACGGGCCACCTGGAGAGAGCCCCTGGCCCCTCGGGACAGGGGCTCGGTCCCCCGGGGGGTGCCGCCTCCACCCCCAGTTCCACTGCTTTGCTAGAGAGGCTCAGAGACCCCAGGGCAACGCTCCCTTCCAAGCGTCCACCGTGGCTCCGTCCTTCTGGTGACCAGCCCTCGTCCAGGAGCCCGCTCGGGCCTGCTCCACAGAACGTAGGTGCCCCGGTGCTCCTGTTCCTCGGGGACTCGGGAGGCTTCCCGGAGCCCTGGGTCGGGACTGGGGTCGAAGACCAAGTGTTGGGAAAGGAGTCACTCCTAGTGCTCTCGTCTCTTAGGGCTGTAGGGGGGTTAGGAGCCCTGAGCCAGGGACCAGCGACAGAGACGGACATGCACCGGGCCCGGCGGGGGAAGGCCCACGGGAGTGCGGTCGGCAGGGTAATACTGGCGTGTCAGGATGTGCAGTTTTAATGGAGCACTTCACCCAAAAGGCCACACGGTGCATTTGAGTGTGATGTTCTTATGTTACAGAATACACACTATGATTTTGTAATGAAAGAGTCTGCAATACAAGGGGGAGGGGGGGCGTTATTTGTGCCGGATGCTGTGTACATTTTTTTCTCAGTATTTCACAACCAAGGTAAGTTAAGGGACACATACTGCAAACCCTAGGGAAAATGCTGAAAAAACCCATAGTGCTTAGTAACACACAGTGTACATGAAATGAAATATGAAAAAGTAATCTAAAAGGCAGAGCAAAAGAAAAGAAAGCAAGGTATAAAAATAAATGGGATAAGTAGAAAAGTGGGACCGAGGCGGCAGACCCAGCCGACTGTTCTCAACCGGGGGCAGTCCCGCCCCCACCGCTGGACCTTCGGGCCGGGCCTGGAGGCGGCTGCAGCTGGGGAGGCACTGCCGCTGCCCAGGAGGCAGAAGCCAGGGGAGCGGCAGCACACCCACAACATGGGGCCATGTCCTCACACCGTAACGCCAACAGCGTCACGGCCGAGAAACCTGGACTGAAGCCCAATCGGGTCAACGATGACGTTAAACGTGAACGGCCACTAGAAGGCAGAGCTTGTCACACGGGGTGAAGAAGCAGAGCCGGCGTCAGGCTGCCCACCTCAGACAGAGGGGAAAACGGGCACGAAAGCAGGTCTGGAAGAACGGAGAACAGGCGCCACGAGAACTTGGGTTACGAACAGGCAGGAGCAGTTACGTCACCACCAGAGGCTGAGTGCGCATGGCCCACGTGCCGCCCGCCACACGCAGGTGTCTGTGGCAGAGGCCACGGCGCACATGCACGAGGCCCCGCGACAGCGCTTAGTGCCCTGGGACGGGGGCCTCGTTAGGACGGGGGATTTTCCATCGCGGGCAGTGGACCACAACCACAAAGGTCCCTGAAACAAACGTTCCGGGACCTGAGAGAAGTGAGCACACACTCTGGGCCGGTGACGTCCACACCCTCCTGCGGCACCCGGCGGGATGAGCAGCGGACACGGCAGCGAGGCTGCAGAAGTCCTCAAGTTGTGCCCACTGGGAAGCAGGCCCTGACCTGGCGCAGGCATGTGAGACGGGGACGGGGCAAACACCGGCTGGAGGGGCGGGAGCGGGGCCAGGCCACAGGCACGGTCTGCAGGAGGGAGGGGACAGCGGGAGGGGACGGCAGGAAGGAGGGCCGGGAAGGCCAGTCTCCCGCTGCGTGCTCTTTGTGGAAGTTCTGGCCACGTCAACGGGGACACCTGAGCCGAAGCCACCTGTCAGAGGAGTGTCCTGTTTCGCAGGCGTGCGTCTGTCTGCCTGGGGTCCCACTGGCCCTCGGGCACTGGCCAGGGGCGGAAGTAGGAAGGGTGGTCCCAAACAAGCACAGTGGTGGGCTGAGCGCCCGCCAGCTACGGTCCCCGCCACAGGACAGTGATTGAGATCAGGTCCTTGGCCAGCGACACAGTAAAAAGACACTGACGAACGTGCCTTCGATTTGAAGAGATCAAATACGTGGCCCAGCTTTCTGTGACTGAGGCAGGGCACACAAAGCAGCCCTTGGGACAGCCAAACACTCAAGGCTGAAACCTGCTCTTGATATCCCTTTGAGCAGTGCTCTTAGTTCACAAAGGCCATCCTGCATCTAATACACTGTTTATTTTTTATTTATTTTTAATTTTTTTATTGATTATGCTGTTACAGTTGTTCTATTCCCTTTCATTCCCCTCCACCCTACCCCCCATCCCCACCATTACCCCCCCTTTAGTTTATGTCCATGTGTCTCAAGTTCTTTAGATTCTATATTTCCCATGCTATTCTTGCCCCCCCCTTCTATTTTCTATCTACTGTCTATGCTACTTATTTTCTGTACCTTCTCCCCCCTTCTCCTCCTCCCACTCCCCTGTTGCTAACCCTCCTTAGATCTTCATT